GTCGAAGGCGGGACTGTTTGCGCACTATTATATTTTGGTAATTCGCAAATTTATTGATTTTATGTCGCTTTTCAGACATAGTTTGTCGTTTTCTTTTTCTGTTAAACAATTTCCCTCTACAGAGTTTGGAATATGCAGCATATAGCTCCGTACAGCTGATAAGGACCGCCGAAGAGCTAGATCAGAGTTGAGCTATCAAGCAGTGTTTTGCTGCAAACCTCAGGAAAGTTAAAGTCGCTTCAAGGTACAGAGCTTTCAGTAGTAGCTGTGATTTGTTTATTAGGATCGTTTTGAATTTTAACTTTAGATTCAAGGTGTTGACTGATCGTAATAAACGAAGTGAAATGTTATAAAGTGTGAATGTTTATTCAGTTATGATTTTAGAGCTGTAAGCTCATATTTATAAAGCTCTCTGAATATACTTGCTTCCGATAAATTTGACTCTTTCTCCAGTAATTTTTATCAGCATCAAGTTATCCCGGCAAAAACGATGTAACCTATAAATCGATCGAGCGCATTGTTGTTGGTTGCGATCTAACACGGTTTCCCCCGCAATTTCAGTACTGAAAGACAAATACGATGTGCAAGAAAAACAAAGATGCACGATATTATTTTTTTCAATTGGGAAAAGTACTGCAGTATCCGCTGACCACCACGCGGGGTGACCGCTTTGCAAGTTGTGAGAACATCGCTTCTCGGTCCCAGACCTCGTCTCATAAACAATGTAAACGCATCTCATGGCTGTGACTGCATGTGGCTACCGTTTTAGGTTTATAGAATATATTGCAGTAAAAAAGGAATTTCAATCGTAGGAAACGATAGAAATTCAAATTGTTTATCCTTAAATATACTATCTTTGCTCTGGAAGGTATATATTTCAAAAACAACAACAAAACAAATAAACAATCAAAACAGAACAAAAACGAAAAACAAAAAAGAAAGACAAAAGGAAAAAAGAAAGGATATGAAGTAGGATTCCAACCCGAAACCTTCGGTTCCAGGTGACTTAACCTTACCACTACACCACTAACGATGATTACGTGCATATGGGGAAAAGTCTTTTATTTAATTCCTTTTCAATGAGACTTCCGCTAACGAACGCTTTGTATAGTTTATGGAGCCGTATTAACCGGGCTACGGACAGTAAAAAAACAATGTAAACACATCTCATGGCAATAAAAGAACAAATGCCATACAAAGCCGATACAACTCGTCTGTGAAGTCGTGATTGCAAATTCCAGTGTTTGTGTACTGTGTGTGTGTGCCCAGTTATTCAAAAGTTGGGAGGATGAGTCACTTTCGAGCGTTTTCTTTTCTTTTCTTTTCTGAAAGTTCAAACCGTTTTATAAGTGTTTTCTCTCCCAAAATGTGATTAAATAGAAACATACTCATCTGAGTAGTTAGAAGGGCTTTAAAGACAATATCACACAGAAACAAAACTAACACTTAATCTGCTTTGCGAGTTTTAAGAAACTGAAAAGTACTTCTATATCATGCTATACAACCGTGTTCTGAAAATAACAAAAGTTGACCCTGTCGCGTTTTATAACCTGAGAACAACAACAATTTTCGGAATTTACGGTTAGATCAAAGTTTCGCGCTATATAACACTGTCATGTTCTCCTTTTTTCTTTCAGAGGGATTTGGGGAGGGAGGGGGATGCATTGTGGAAATGGACCAGTTAAAAATGATGCCGAAACGGTAACTTGCTATTATATTAAGGCATCACAAAGTACCCATTACTCTTTTTCTGAAATGAAATGAAAAACAGTTATTACAAAAAGGTGAACACGTGACAATCTATTGCGAAAAGACCTTTCACTTTCATCAAATGTTGGATACCACTTTTTTTTGTAATTTAGAATATAAATCTGAAGACCTGCTTGTACATATTCTAAACGGAATAGTCAGTGTACATATATAACTTGTCTGTACCTTGCTAAATTTTTGACCTTCTTAATTAAATACGTTCTACTAAATAGCATTGTCTCTTAAAAAAGTTACTGGGCTCTTCTCTTTTCTTATGCTTTTACTTCTTCAATGGTGGAAATTAAAGGCGAGGTATTGTTAACTTTATCTAGTCATTTAACTTCAACTGAATGCGTTTTTCCTCAGTATCGCTGCACAGCAGTGGTTTCTTTTCTTTCTTTCTTTCTTTTTTTTTTCAAGTGACGTTATATTGATTGCATGATTCGCCGGAAAAAAAACGTGAATGAACTAATCACGTTTCAGTAATACTCCTGAAAAGAGTACGAACAAGCAACTCACTCTAAGTCGGATGTAAAAGCCGCATATTTCATGATAGAGAATCTTACAAGAGTTCAGAACTTGGGCTATAACCATCTGATAATGTGTGTGTACTTGGTACTTAGTATTATCTAGGCTAAATAAAGCTCGAGATAGAGTGGTGAAGCCACATGACTTTTAGCCACACTGCAAGGAAATTTAACAAAGATTTCAAACACTTCAGTTTTAGGAGATCTATTAAATCTTTAGTTTCGGATCATGAATTAACACGATAAGGTTATTTTGGATGAGCTATAAAACTGAGCCAGTATTGTTTAATCAGTTTATTAAAAGCGGCTGAGTTTTAACTATACGGTTGTATTTCTTCATGAATTATTAAATATACAAAGTTGAATGTAAATAGAAATGCGTAGCATAAATGTATTTGCACTTCAATTACCGGTAGAAGATATGGGGAAGCTTTTTAACACAATAGAAATCTAATTACACATCAAGATCCGGCTGTTGTAGATAATAGTTAATCGTAGGTGGGTGAATAGAAAATCCTGCATTTCTGCTTGTCAGTTTCTATTGTGGTCCTCCGGCCGCTCGAAGTTTTTTATTTCTAGGGCGGGAAATCAAGGAGAGTGTCTATGGGGTAGAGGCATTTGCCAGAAATATTTGCGCTATTTACGTCTAACGGCTGCGGTTACTTTTATTTAGATGATATCTAGAAAAAGAAAACTGCTTGAAAATTTCAAAATGAATTTCCTTTGTCGCATTAAACAGCTTTTATGCCTTTTCCGAATGAAAAACAAAAGTAGAAATAGGCTCCCTCTAGCCAGGAAACCGAGACACATGAAGTCCAAAGAAGCTCTCTAAATGACAAATTGTCATGAATTGTGGCAAAGAAATTCTTTACGATTGACACTCTTTACGACTATACGGTTCCATTTTTTAACGCCTAACGACAGGAGGATTGGCCGTTTTACGGCTAACAATATAAACCCCCATTAATTGAGACCCGGCTCACTGCGGGGGTGTAGTCAGGAGCTCTTGTCATAATGGAGTGTCCAACGGAAAATAAGTATAAATAGCCTGCGAGCGAGCGCTCCATTTTGGGGATATCATGAACTCGCCGCTCGCTTCTTTATCTCAAATACGAGAGCTTGCTGGCAGGCTTTAAAATAAGGGCCACAGCATGTTACGTTTTTTGTCTATTTTACGATTTCTTTTTTCGCGAAAAGTTACCACGTTTAAAGAACTGCCCAATTGAGTATTGCAGTTTATTTTAACCTTGATAAGTGATTTATTTAAGTAATCTGAATAGCAAGCAGAATTTGCCGCGTGCTACTGTTAAGAAACGCCTCAAAAGAACCTGTGAAGTGATTTTGAATTTAAACTGAGTCGCGAGAAGAGTGGGATGAATCTAGTTCCAATAAGGAAAACTCTGATCCCATTAGCTAGACGGGCTAGAGATTGAGAAACCAAAATTAAAAAGCGATGAAACCTTTTGCTGTTATTTCATGAATGTAATTTACATGATCATTTTTCACATTCACCGCTTTCGATGCTTTTTTATCTATCTGTAAGTACCACATTTCCAAATATAAATTTGGCTCTAGGAAACAACAAGAAATTACACCTCTTAAATTTTTAGCGGAAAACCGGTTTTTGTCATTGGTAATTTTTTGAAAAGAATTATTAAGTAATGAACTTCCTGAGCGTTACTAATTTTATTACCTAAATTAAACGTGATAAACTGATCTTGCGGTTAAAAAATCGATTATGTCATTAACGATAACCCTGAAATGTCAATATTTAAGCCTTTTATCGAAAATAATAACTTGATTCGAACTTTAACGTTAAATTAAGAAGAAATCAGTTAAACGAACAGGCTTTCTATCAAAGATTAAGATTTTACTGGGGTACTAGACGTCAATTATAATATTATAGAAAGCGTTAAATAAGCTATTAACGAAACTTTACGATTATTTCCTTTAGATAGATCCCAGAACTGCCGTTGTTTTATGTGATCCACAGGTTCCGAATTTTCTGGTCTCGAGGAGAAAATATTTAAGATATAAGAAGTTCCTTTTTGAATTACCATTGGGAAACTGAAACATGCAATCAGTTTTCTTTTAGATTCTTGAAAAGAAGGAAAGAGAATTTCCACTGATTTCCGTCGTAATGACTCAATCCGTGAATATCGAACATATTTCCTTCCCGTGATTATCTTAATGGCGGTACTGTTTCAAACAGCGTGGTTCAGTTAATAGCAAATATCGTTAATGGTACAGTTTAGATAAACCGGACGAGGTATTTTTGGTAGCGCTTTCATTGTAATTAAAGAACATATCCAGTTTCAAGAACGTACCTTACTTATAGAGATCATGGACGCAAATTGAATTAACATTGTTCAACCCGTTTCAGCTCTTACAACAAACGGCTGCGCAACTCTTATTCTGCTGCTGTAGAAGCTTATTTCAAATTCAGAATGAATACCAAGGTTCAAAGTTTTCTATTAGCTCTTGTGCTTCTGTCTAGTATGTTTAGTGACAGTGAAGCTTATTTCCCTGCCAGAGTCGGACGCAAATCTTCAATTGAGGTCAGTATATTTATACTAAAAAATAAAAAAACAAAATTAGGCGTTAGTGGCAGAGTAAAACTTTTATGAAATGATTCCTATTTCTTCCAGCGCTTTCCGAATTTTGCTGACTATTAAATGAAATTCCAAAGTTTCGTAAAAAGTGAAAAAAAAAGTTCTTTCTTTTCCCTTGACAGGGAGCTGATGGTAGTGAAGATGCCTTTATGGGAACTCGAGTGACTCGAGACCGGGTTAGTGATAACTTAGAAAGTATGATTATATTTTCATTTCCAGGTCTGTGATGCTATATTGGTAGTTCAACCATTGTAACTGGATTTAAAACAGGATTTTTGATCATTAATTCTAGCCTTTTTAGGGGAGTTCAAGGGGTAGTTTGATTGATTATCGTTGAAGTAGAGCGAAAGAAGATAAGGCGGGTTATAAGCATTAACCGGGTACTGATCTTCTGAGAGGCTCAGGATCCCCGGAGGAGGAGAGGGGTTGGCGACTCCCATACGAATGCAAGCGGAATGTTTACCCGAAAAGTGTCAAGGAATCCATCGTAAGTTTTGGGAAAACTGCTAAAGTACCTCAAGAACAAGGCTGTGACGTCCCTGACTTTCATGTTCGCTTGACTAGCGTTGCATTTTCGGCTTCTTTTTCTTGCGCTATTTGACATGTTTTTTTTTTGTATCCCTGGTTGTAGGACTTATCCAAGATGCAATTAAAAAGAGAAGAACTCTGCGAAGTCTCTAAAAGAGTCTGTTGACGATGCAAGACGGGTCAAGACCCAAAACACTATTAGCTACAATAAAATTATTACAATAAGCAAAATACCCTAGGAAAAATGACCATACGCTTACACGACCTATATATATATTATAAATACAAAGAGTTTAATTGGAATTTTTAAATAAAGGTATTCAACTTTTATTTTAAACCATCTACTGTCAGTTTCTGTTGTCTGACCCTATAAATGCTCGTACGCGAAATCGACTTCCTCCGAGGATTTTTCCCTTGGCAAATAGGAAAGTCCTGGGGACTAGGCTGGCGAGGAAATGAGAACAAAAACCAGTATTTTGCAGGCATACCTTCATCTTTGAACCTGCTTGGTTTTTAATTTATCTTCGTTTTATTCATACGATCATTGTAAAAATTTTCTCTTTGAATCGTTATTTATTCAGCCTGTGTAAAGACCCTCCCCCTAATTAAATCTTACTGAGGGGAGGGGGGGTTGTACACAGGCTATTATCTACTCTATTTTTATTTAGTAACAGATGAAGAGCCACAATATGGAACCCTTGTTAATAAACAGATTACTTACTTACTTATTGTAAATCCATAACAACAAATGGATTACACGTAGACTGAATTTTGGTATGATCTAATTTTTCCAGTCTGCTACACGGCCGTTTTTAGTATCGTCACGCAACCCTTCTCGTTGCGTGACGATACTAAAAACGGCTGTGTAGCAGACTAATTTTCCGCAAAAGAGAGATTGTATCTCATCTTTACGTCTTTATGCCAATCGTACTGGCTAGCTAAGCAGGTGCAAGGCCTTTGATAATCTTACACAAAAGTGTGACATCCTGTGCTTCCAGTAGCCTGCGTAGCATGGCGGTTTTGTTGAGCCGGGCGCAGGAGCGGCGTAGCCGCGAAATTCGCGCGCGAAGCGCGCGAGAACGAGCGGCGAAGCCGCGAGAAAAATAAAAGTTCAAGTTGCTTCCGCCCCAATCTCCTCGCGGTTTCTCTGCCCTCGCCCGCCTTTATTACTTAGCGCTCCCAACAAAAACGGCCATGCTACGCAGGCTATGCTTCCAGCTGATTCTTGACTGAGGGTGTCATTTTTTCTTACAAGGCAAAAGGAAGTGTTGCATTCTGATTATACTTGGGGACCTCAACATTCTCATTGTAATGAGGTCCAGTAATCTAATAGCATAGGCACTGAGCAACCATCCTCCCCACCACTTCCCACCCCTCCCCTCTAGACCGTGTTACCTTTGTTTCCCAAACACAAAGCTCGTCTGTCCTTGTAACAAGAAGTCAGGTGCAGATGTAGACTTGTTACCATCAAATTACTTATCAGCCTTTTGATGTAATGTATTAAACTAGTTTCACCTGATATCATCACACAAAACAGTACAGTGTTTTTATTTATTGTTCATCTAACTAGACATATCAGTAGCTTCTCCAAAGATCAAAATTATTCAAGAAATTCACATTAAAATTAAAATTAAAGAGCTGAAGAAATATATTTAATATGCTAAGGGTCACATTTCAAAACCTCCTTTACAAGAGTAATTACATTTTTTTTTTCTCGTAATACTTTACTAATATGATAAAAAGTTATAATGTTGATGTTACATTCATTCAATTTTAGCATTTCCGATGCAGCATTTATTCAATAGCATTGTTTATTTGAGGGCAGCAATTACTTCAGAATCATATTTCTTCAATCACTTGACAGCAAATTACAATAAATCATTTGTAAATATTATGTAAAACAGATGTTCCAAGTTCGATGTGATTGTCTTGCTTTTTTCGCTGAGATAGAATAGTAATTAACCATCTGGATGGTGTAGATTACCAGCCGGTACCAAGGCTTTCTCTTATAATCCCTGAATAAACACCCAATTCTTCTGACTGTGTGCTGCCTTTAGTCCTAAAGTGCCGTGTTTACTGGTAATTTTGCCTCCATGTGTGGCATCTACAGTCAACTCTTGTTATAACGGACACTGTAGGGACCTCGAGTTAGTGTCCTCATTAGTGAGAGTCCGTAACAGCGGGAGTTTAATTCAGCCAAATGTCTGGCCTTCAGAACTATGGTTTTTCTTCTTTATGGACACTACGGACACTATGGACTTACAACATGACATGGAAACAATAATCATAGAAGTCTAGCCTGCGAGCAAGCTCTTAATAGAGTGAGCAAAGGAAGCCCTTAGAGAATACCCCTCACACTTACATGGGGCTCCCATGTGACTTCTCGCGACTCCCCCAAATGAAGAGCTTGTTCGCAGGCTACAAAAATCAGACCTTATGTAGAATGGAAAATTACCATAACCTCAAAAGTTATTGTGGTTGCTTATAAGAGGTAGGAATGCTTTGGGGCTTTGGGTGTGGGGACATATGAAATTTGGAGTTTGGGTTTAGTGTTCGCTTACATCAGGACAAGGAAATTCAAGTGTTTTCACCATAACCTCCCATTTAGATGTTCTTTTGGCTCATCACACAATCCTAAAGGAACAAGTGACGAAGCCCTCAGGACATCTGTGTGGGAGGCTATATTGGAGGCTCTGCCGGGGGGGTGGTGGGGGCCCCATGTCGCTTGTCAGAATTTTAAAACTTCTCGTGTTGGTATTTATAAATGCTTCACATAGTCATTGCTGTCTGAAACTGAAAAAATTCTTTGTCTTTGTCGGTATTTTAGAAAAGGGGATAGCTATGGGCTATGCATTGTAAAGAAACCATTACAATTCTGCAATTTTTTCAGTTAACATTTCGTGTATCGAACACCTAAACATCTCCATTCACAATTAACACAATTCACAGGAGGGTCCACTGAAGCTCGCTGACAAGAGACGTTCTCTGAAGCGCAAAAAAAATTGACGAAAACTACTTCTTTTTAGCATTCAGACCGGTGATAGCCAAACCACCGCTCTTTGTCACTTATTCTTGGCCTTGCCGTCACTGTCGCAATAGGCTCTTTGCATGACTGTGATCACGTGATCAACATAAATTCCAACAAGTGACATGACCCAAAAAGTAGCGACAGAGCATAAAATGAAATCTTGACAAGAAACAACCTCCCTCTGCCAAACAGGCTCTTTGCATGACTTGATCACATGATCAACTTTCGGTAAACACAAAAACAATTCACTTTTGAAAAATTTTGTTAGTACAAGCTGAAAGAGCATGTTAATGTTTGGTAAACTGAGAATTTTCATCCATATAACTCAAAAGTAGCGATTGCAACGTCCGCCAAAAATTAGAAGCATTTGTATGAGAAAAACAACTTTTGCCACCCAGTCACCCTCGCATGGTTTTCCATACAAATCCTTGTAAATTCTACAATTTCTAAACTGTCGTTAAATCTTTCCCTTACACATTTAGGGACTCAAATTGCCTGTTATGAATTAAAAGGAGATTTGAGCCCCCTAATGCTTAACGAAATATTATATGACAGTTTTGAAAAGTTCGAAAGTACAAGGATTTGTATGGAAAACCATGCAAGCGTGACTGGATGGCAAAAGTTGTTTTTCTCATACAAATGCTTCCAACTTTCGGCAGCCATTGCAATCGCTACTTTTGAGATATGCCGCTGAAAATTCTCAGGTTACCTAATTTTAATATGCTCTTTCAGCCTGTGCTAACAAAATTTTTCAAAAGTGAATTGTTTTTGTGTTTACCGAAAGTTGATCATGTGATCAAGTCATGCAAAGAGCCTGTTTGGCAGAGGGAGGTTGTTTCTTGTCAAGATTTCATTTTATGCTCTGTCGCTACTTTTTGGGTCATGTCACTTGTTGGAATTTACCCTGGCAGGGCCTCATATCGACCAAAGCAGATTGGAGTGCATAATTATCTTTAGTTTAGCTTACACTCTAAAGGGTTTCAACTTATTTTTCCCGTCATCCCGCAAACTCGGCCGCTTCCTTTTTTTTCCCTGTTTATGAGCCTCGATTCCTATGTTCAACCTTTCTTCCAAGTAGGCCAGTCTTCCCTCTGTGAGCTGCTTGACAGATTCAGGATTTAGTTCAGGGTAAAGCCTGTGTTTCTGTATTTCAACCCACGCCTGTTTCGTCTGCGTAACAAATCTATTCACACATTTCTGAATTACCTTTTCTTCAAGGGGATATGTTTGATTAAAGATAATCACTTCCAAGGCTTCCTCGACTTCCATATCCGAGGTTGACCAGTAATAAAGATATTCCTCGCAGCGCATTTTCACTCGATCGATTTGGTATTCAGTGGAGAGCTTCAGAAGGGAAAGGCAGTTTCCCTTAAAGATCCAAAGATCCTGGTCAGGATAAATGCATTGAAGGAGCTGCTCTATTTCCGCAGGATTTTTGCCCGGAAGTTGTATCACTTTTGCAGATTTCTCCTTGAAATCTGACGACAACATCGTTTCGAAGACTGGGGAAGACACCATTAACACGGCTCGATGGACGTGAAAGACTGTGTGTTCGACTTTGAGAACCAAGTCACTTGACTTCCATGGACGAGAAAATCGACCAACAAAATCTGTTGGGGGATTATAGTCATTACAGGAGGGCTCGTGCACCAAATCCAAATCAAGACTCATCTGACTCATAATTCACAGTTCTTGATTACTACGATTGATCGTAAAGTTTGCAAAGCAAAAGATACCCACACGTTCGGCGGGAAAACTTTGTGCGCAACCTTCTTCGCATCCCTTATCGCAGGCTCAAGGTTGTGCCTCAAGGTGGTAGCTAGGTCATGTATGGGGACATATATTGTACCGATTTTACGTATTTCACTTGAATGTTGATTTCTTCATATTTCCACTGTTTTAGACTCATTATTATGTTTTATAACTTAGTCTTATTACTGTTACCCTGTTACCTTGTTACCATGTTACCTGGTTACTCTGTTACCTTGTTACGCTGTTCCCTTGTTACTCTGTTACCTTGTTAACCTGTTCCCTTGTTACTCTGTTACCTTGTTAACCTCTTACCTTGTTACTCTGTTACATATCCAGAACTTAGGGACTTGTCAGAAATTAGCAAGGGGGGGAAGGGGGGTGGAAACAGAGGGAGGCCGGGGCCCGAGGGTCACAACTTTTTTAGACTACAGAAAAGGGAGGGGTCATGAAAAATGAGTCGTTAAAAGGGGGAGGGTCATGCAAATATGTGTCCGTGATCATGTAGAGGTTCACCCACAAAAGAAGTTCTTTATTTTGTAACAAAAAACCTGGGAGAAATAGCAGAGTCGAGTGATCAGCTGTCAGAATCAGAGTCGGACTCAGCTTTATGCTATCATCTAAAATGTATGTATATTGCATTACAAAAACAGATTAGAAATATATTTTAAGCTTTCATAATACTGACTCACCCTAGTAGATTTTATCATTTATACAAGAGGGGGGGGGGGGTCATGATATTTTAGGCCAAGGTCAAGGGGAGGGTTAGCCAATTTCACTCCCATTGCAGGGAAGGGTTATCTCATTTCCGAACCCAATTTTAAAATTCCCACCCCTCCTCCCCCCCTGCTAATTTCTGACAAGTCCCTTATCCAGTTTCAAGAACATACCTTACTTATAGAGATCATGGACGCAAATTGAATTCACATTGTTCAACCCGTTTCAGCTCTTACAACAAACGGCTACGCAACTCTTATTCTGCTGCTGTAGAAGGTTAGTTCTAAGAATTCAGAATGAATACCAAGGTTCAAAGTTTTCTATTAGCTCTTGTGCTTCTGTCTAGTATGTTCAGTGACAGTGATGGTTATTTCCCTGCCGGAGTCGGACGTAGATCTTCAATTCAGGTCAGTATATTTATATTAAAAAAGAAAACAAAAACAAGAACAAAATTTGGCTTTAATTAGTGGCATAGTAAAACTTAAAACCTTTCTGAAATGATTCCTTTGCTTCCGACGCTGTCCGACTTCTGCTGACTATTTTTGAAATAAAATTCTAAAGTTTCATAAAAAGTGAAAAAAGTTCTTTTTTTGCCCGTGACAGGAAGCTGATGCAAGTGAAGATTCCTTTTTGGCAGCTCGAGTGACTCGAGAGGTGAGTGATAACCTGGTGGAGTATGATTATATTTCATGATTAGCTCTGTGGTGCTATGTTGGTAGTTCAACCATTGTAGCTGGATTTAAATTAGAAGGAAGATTTTCTAGTCGCCCAAGACTGAAAAGTCAGGTACCAGGGGCTACCTAGCTCTGCTCAAGCACAGCCTTGTTAAAACAGACTTTTTCAGTGGTTTAAGGGGTAGTTTGATTGAATATTGTTGGAGAAGTAGAACGAAGGAAGATAAGGGTTATAAGCCTTCTAAGGGCCTGCTTACACGGAGGTTGGGGACCCTAGGTAGGTGAGGTGACCCGCTTTGGTGGGTAACCTGCCTGTCCACATGATCTCTCATTTTAATTTGATCACGTTTACATGATAGGTGGGGTGACCCGCCGCATGTTACCTCACCTATCTGGGGTCCCCCACCTCCACGTAAACAGGCCCTAAGAGGCGCAGGATCCCCGGAGGAAAGGAGGGGCTGGCGACTTCCATATGAATGCAAGGTGAAAAAGCAATATGGGCGTGGTTTAGATATATTTGACCCCGTATGGAGACTAATAAAACAAACAACCGAAAACCAAATAACAGCAATAGTGATTTTCACTGCGCTAAAAATGTTGACATCGAATGCTGCTTTCACTGCCAGCATCTGATGTAAAAATCTTTACTAGCACTTACTGTGTTGAACCGAGATCATAACTGGGACCAGCACTATGATCTCTTAGTTGAACAAAGTATCAGGGTGCTTGGTTTCTTTTACATCGGTTTTTGTTGCCTTTTTTTGTTGTTGTTGTTGTGGCAGACGACTATCTGGTGTTTGCTTTTGTACTTAACGATTCAATTTTTAAGTTTCAACAATCACATATAGCTTTTGAGTTGTTTTCTCATTTCCCATAAAAGGTCGGATATTCAGATCCTTCCCATTTTCTTCATCATGGAAAACGTTCTAGAATACCACCCGATTACCCGAAAAATGACCAAAAATGTCAAGGACTCCAACGTAAGCTTTAGGAAAACTGATAGAGTCGTGACCTGAAGGACAGGACTGTGACGTTCCTTACTTTCATGTTAGACAGTGATTTGCGTTGCATTTTTTTAAATTTACGGCTTCTTTTTTTTGCGCTATTTGGCATTTTTTTGTTTGTATCCCTGGTTGTAGGACTTATCCAAGTTGCAATTAAAAAGAGAAGAACTGTGCGAAGTCTCTAAAAGAGTCTGTTGACGATGAAAGACGGGTCAAGACCCAAAACACTATTAGCTACAATAAAATTATTACAATAAGCAAAATACCCTAGGAAAAAAGACCATAAATAAGAAAATTAATCGTGGATTTGATGCTAATCGGAGGATAGTTTAATCGGCTTTCCAGGAACCGGGGCCATATGCTTACATGACCTATATACAAAGTGCTTTATTGGAATTATTAAATAAAGGTATCTAATTTTATTTTAAACCATCTACTTTCATTTTCTGTTGCCTGAACCCATTAGTACTTAAGCGCGAAATCGACTCCCTCCCAGGATTTTTCGCTTGGAAAATAGGAAAAAGCCCTGGGGACGAGGCTGGCTTGGAAGTTAGGGGCGCCAGAATCAACGGGATGCGCGAGGGAGAAACGGGAGGGGAGAAGGAGCACCTACCGAGAGGTCGATGAAAATCGTTTCTCGCCCCCAGTCCAATTATCCCTCTCCCCTTGCGTGTCTCCCTCGCGCCCGTTCTTTCCTTAGCCTGTGAAAAGGCTCTCTGCTTTTCCCTCTCCCTAGTTCCCCGCTCGACCAAAGGCCTGTTAACAAGCTATTCTTCCCTGCGCCCAGTTACTTCCAAGCGCCTGCTACGCACGTTAGGCTGGCGGGGGAATGAGAACAAAACCACTAATTTTGTAGGCATACTTTCATCTTTGAGCCTGCTTGTTTTTTATTGTAAATCCATAACAACAAATGAATTACACTGCACATTGACTGAATTTTATAACGATATCATTTTTCCGCGATCGACTTAACAGCCCTGCGTATACTTTGATTGCTTGCCTTCTGCTCTGCGAAGTTTCACAAAAATCTATGAGAAAAATTTCGCGATATCTTGGAATTTGTAAAGGGCTTTATTTACCGGTATGTGTCACCTATTTCCCAATCAAGGTTTTCTACTTTCTAGACGTATCCGGAAAGTTTTTACCACTCATTGTTTTAACCATAGTTATTACAGTGGAATGTTAAGGAAACCCATTAGACTCCTTTGTTATATGTTTTTGTTAGCTTTTTTGGACCTGGCCGTGCACAACGTTCAATAGCATTCCTATCATTTTGAACTTAACGACCAATAAAAACATCGCATTAACTTATCCAGTCACAATTTGTGAACTAAAAACAAAGGATTGTGCATCTTCAGGGAGCTTCCAACATAAACTACAGCACCGTTGTTTTCAACTTTGATGTTTTCCGGGTTTCATAACCAGTCTTCTCTACGTACTATGTTTTAAGAAATGTCCCTAAAGCATTCTCGAAGCCGCTCGAGACAGGTAGACGTGCGAGATTCCGAAAAAAAAAGTGAAGTAAAGACATGCATTAGGGTAAAGCACAATGCTTTGCTCTTTTTGCAATTTGTAAAGTTAATTTCACAAAAACAGGGTAGAATTCGTAGAAAGAGTTACCGTAAAATTCCAAAAATAAGCCCCGGGGCTTATATTTTTCAAAGGCCCTTTTTGAGGAGCTTATTTTTGGAGGGGGTTATATTCGGAGGGAAATTTGCGTTTCAAAATCGATTGGACTAGCCTTATAGTTTAAAGTAAATTTGCCGTTTTTGCTTTGTTTTACTTTGTATTTGAGGGCAATATTCCAAGCACAAGCCCCCGGGGGCTTATATTTGGAGGGGCGATTTAACGGAGGGTTTTTTGCGTTACCGGTTTGGGGGGGCTCATATTTGGAATTTTACGGTATATTCCCATCAAAACTTTTCAGAGCTGCGATTGATAAGTGTATGCTAACTGAACAATCTCTGAACTTCATATCCATTGAAACATTATAACGTACGTTGTCTAACGTTCGCTCAAAATTGATTTTACAGGGCCGAGTTGTTCAAAGCTGGGCTAAGATAACCCAGGGTTAGTGCGAGATTTGAATTTAGATTTGACAGCTTAAAAAGCATTTCAGTTTTAATTTTTTTGTCAACAAGTTGATGATTGGAAGAAAATTATCAGAGAAAATGCTTTTGAACACAAGAAAAAGAAACCTGGGTTAAATTTAACCCTTGGTTAAACGCTAATCGGCCTTCCAACAACTGGGCCCAGATGTATATCAAAGCCCTGTTATACGGTTTTGTAGCCAGTAAACGTTTCATGATGTAACGGGGCTCAAAATAGAACAGAGAAGCAAAATATGGTGGCTCATGTGACAATATAGTTCTATGTACTCTGAAGACGAGACCGGCTTAAATTTTAACCTTCTGCTTAACCACAGATAGCTAATTTAGCACACATCACAATATTAGATGGGGTGTTTCCTTGGTGTATTTCCATTATGTCAAACGTCTGGTGACAACGCGTCGCCGTTTCATCATAGCGTTTCTGTCTTTCGCCAACACGCTTACGTCGTCCGAACGGATCGGAGTAGCGTCGCACGTTCATGAACTCGTCGGCTTGGATCAGTGAGAACCGGAGTCTGATCTCGAACCGTTAGTGAACTCGGTTAGTGTCCAACAGTCTAGTCACGTAACCCTCTAGGAAGACGAGTGTTGTTGCTAACGCTTAGTGCGTCTCACGGCTTTTTTGAACTTCCTCCCGGCTATTCCCGCATTTTCTCCGCCAGTTCCTGCTGTAAACATCGTGTCCCCCTGGGGTTGTACGCCTCCAAGAGAGAATGAGACAACCACCACAAGTTAGTTTTCTAAAACAACATCTACTTAAAATTCTTGAAGCATTCAAAGGAATTTCGAAGTTATACAGAAGCTATCAATATTGGCCTGCCTAGAGGCAGCTGCATGTTTGCCATAGCTTCCTATTCTCTCCAGAGATGACCTGGCAGGATAAGTGGGTATGGAAAGTAGCCGGTTTTGGGCTTCAAGATAGAGACGTGCAGTAAAAAGTGATGCAAAAAATGCGTGGGGGCTAGGGAGAAAGCCATAGCCACTCCTAGTCTTCTCTGTAGTTTCGAGAATCCCCAGATTAACCCCTTACCCTACCCCCCCCCCCCCTCAACTCACCAAATGGAGTATTACTCGCACCAAACAAAGGGGTCCCTCCTCCAGCCAGTGCAAACCCAGAGAAGGTTGAACCTGTATTTGATCCAGAGTAACCGAATGGAGTGGCTGTGGCGTTGTCTGTTGGAAAAAAGGAGACATGGAACGACATGAGACCCACATCTTTGAGTGCTAACTATGACAAAAATTTGTTTTAAAACCTTCTCAAGACACAGCTATCCTAAATTGACAGAAGGCAAAATGTAAAACTTTCAGTTGTTTCACGAGATGGCTAATAGAGCTCTTTTTTTTTCCTTTATTTTTCTTTTTTGCAAACTCTCTGATAACAATAAGGAAATCCATGAACACGTTTTCCTTGATTGAAATTCTATTTAACAAAAATGTATTTGAACTAAATTATCTCTGGTTTTCTGATTGCTTATAAGGCTACCAGATCCAATCATAGCTGCAAACTACAAGTAAAAATGGTGAAGTGTAATTCTTATAAATATTCTTTGTTTGACAGAATCGAGCACAAATGGTACAATTTGCTCGGCTATGTTGTGAAGGTTGGATGAATATTATTCCTTTTCAGAATCTGATTCTATTTTTAATTTTTAGGAAGTTAATTAAATAAGGTCCACCTCTTTAACATCCTTTTCAGGGTGTTAGGGTATTTTTTTACCTTTTGTTTTTATTATAACTTGAATAAAGTAAGCTTGCGTACCTTATATGTATGTATGTAAGTATAAACTTTACCTCCAATTTTCAACATTTTCTCCAAGTGGTTCACTCGTTCCTCTGTAAGCCACTTGACTGTTTCCTTTTCCAGTTCAGAGTAACGCTCATGTTTCTGTATTTGCTCCCATGTATGACCTGTCTGCGACACCAACATATCCACACATTTTTTAACTATGCAGTCTTCAAGAAAACATCTTTGGTTGACGATTATCACTTCCAAGGCTTCAGCTATGGTCAATTCCCCTCTGCACCAGTACCTTAAATATTCCTCGCAGCGTGTTTTCAATCGGTCGATTTGGTATTCAGTCGAAAGCTTCAAAAGAGCGAGACAGTTTTCCTTTGAAATCTGAAGATCCTGGTCAGGGTAAATACTTTGAAGCATCTGCTCTATTTCAGTCGCTTCTTTACCCGGAAGTGGTATTTCTTTAACAGACTTCCCTTCGAAATTTGAAGACAAACTGGCCTCGAAGACTGGTGAACATAGGATCAAAACGGCTCGATGAACATGAAATTCCCTGTCGGTGACTTTAAGAATCAGGTCACTTGATTTCCATGGACGAGAAAAAGGTTTCGCTTCCGAGGTTTCAACCTTCCTCAAGATGGAATCCATGACTCTCGCTAAGTACGTCATGTCAAGGAACATATAGTTTCCTTTATGCGCTCTTTCGAACGTAGCCAGGTAACGTGTTTTTAATAGGCGGGAAACAATGGAGGGTCTTAAGAGTTAAGAAGAAGAAGAAGAAAAAAGAAGGAGAAGGAGGAGGACAAGAAGAAGAACAAGTACAAGAACGAGAACAAGAACAACAAGGGCTTGGACGACGAGAAAAACGAAAGCAAGCTCCTGCCTTTTCCCTCGTCCTTCATGCTGGGTTGATCTGATTGGCCGACCAATTACAAAGAGAACTAGAAAATAGGTTAAAGAACAGGGTAGAATGTTTCTTAACTAGGTGATGGGCACATATTTCCAGTAATTTAAAACTGACTTCACTACACAAGATGCGTTATATAGTTTAATATTTATTAATCAAATGCTTACAATTTCAAAAAGATAGCGAGTAAAATGATTTCGGTTTACTTGCGACGTGAAAACCCACCAAGAAAATTAAGAGATCGCGAATGCAAATGACTACTTGACAGAAATTAAATTAAATAGCGGATAGAGTATTTACATTTTTCCATCGTCCCCCCATACAGGTTGCACTCTCCCCAATCTTGTCTTTTATCGCTCTGAAAAATCGCTCCCATATTTTTTTCTTAATTTACAAGGAATTGCTTCTTTTAATTCATTGAGAGTATGGATCATAGAACTATAAAATTTAAAACAATTATATCGCATAACATTTCTGGGCTGGTTGTTCATCACTCCTCTCAGGCACATCGCGTGCGAATGAGGAATTAAGTGATTGTTTTCCCGCTCCTTCTCACGAACAAAAGAAATAAAGTATAGAAATTTCTCCCAATTTCTACGAACTGCCTCAAAGCATTCAAACCTTTGTTAAGAGGCAACTCCTTGCAAATCAGTGGGACTGAAATAAACTTAGAAACTACATCCTCACACATCGATGCAAATTGCACGCTTTACAACAAATACTTCATACGCATTAACAATCATTGATACAAAAAATATATATTAATGACAAAAGTGTCATTGGTCTGTACGGTGGAGTAACTTTGTCCATAAAGAGTGTGGTCGCAGTGTTGAAGAAAAATTTCCTTGTTACAAAATTTCGTGGTCGGAGCTTGTTTTCAAGGGTGTTTTACACCCTAAAACTTTAATCGTCCAAATGGATACACCTCGTTTATTCCGCGGAAGGAGGAATCCATGCAGTGCGCCTTCGTACGTACGCGTATTTCCATTTTGTCAAACGTCTAGCGACAACGCGTCGCCGTTTTATAGCGTTTTTGTCTATCGTCCGCACGTTTAAGTCGTCGGAACAGATCGGAGTAGCGTCGCACGTTCGTTAACCCGTCGGGGTTAATCGGTTAGAGACAAAGTCTCGTCTCGCAACGTTTGTTTGCACTCGGTTAGTGTACTACGGTCTTGTCAGGTAAGCCTCTAGTAAGACGAGTGTTGTCGCTAACGCTTAGTGCGTCTCACGGCTTTTTTGAACTTCCTCCCGGCTATTCCCGCATTTTCTCCGCCAGTTCCTGCTGTAAACATCGTGTCCCCCTGGGGTTGTACGCCTCCAAAGCTAAACATTCCGGAGCTATTCAGGTTGTTGTTAGTCGCTGTGGGAGCAAAGTTAAAACCGGCGGGAGGAGTCGCTATAAACCGAGAAAACGTCAAGTTAGTAAATTGTTAATAAGTTTGGGGGGAAACCTTAAAGGACTCATATTTTAGAAGTGCGATTCAAGATTACGCGAGCCTCAGTTCACGCTCAGCGTTTTTGTTAGAAATAGTTATGTTGAGTCCTGTAGTTCATCTTGAGAAAAATCATGAGTCCCAGTCAAGAACCATTGAGTCCCAGTTAAAAAGACGAGTCCTCAGTCGAAAATGCTTGGGCCTTTATGTAACCAGACAGTTAATCTGAAGACATAGTCCAAAACTCTTTAATACAGTATATACCTTCTGATTAAAGCACAGAAAAAGACTGAAATTATTACGCATCGTTAAACAAAAGCCACAGATATCACACGAAGATATACTACAAAAAACATTTTCAGATTGGTCAATCGCTTTTGGCGTCCTACGGGACGCATGTCAGGAAATATTTTGCGTCTTTGGGGATTTTTATGTGTCAGGAACGCAGGACGCAGGGGTAACAAAATCACTGAAGGTGATGTCGCTTTGGTATAAATGAAAAATGTAAAACGGCAAAATTGAAATTGCCCTATCAACAAGCGGTAAAGCTCACCGTTGGCCGCTGGGGTACTAGCACCAAACGAAGGCGTTCCTCCTCCAGCCGGTGCAAAGGCAAACGGGGATGATCCTGTGTTAGTCGCTTATGCAGCAAAGTTTAAGCCTCCTGAGGCGGGAGGGGTTGGGGCTACAAAATTAAATCCTGTGCTGGACCAGGAGGAACCGAATGGAGTGGTATAATTTTCCCCGAATCGAGGCCCTTGATTCTCGTGTAATTATGCACGCATATTAAAAAGAAAATACCTGAAGAACACTCGACCGTCGATAAAGTAGGATGAGAAAATAATATGGCGGGGAAATCCTCTTTTGTGGTGTCTGAGGCACTACGTTTCTCAGCACATTGTCGCAATATTACTGGACCCTACGTTTAAACAGATTCACTTTGTTGTATGTATTTTTAAAATTGATAGATTTTCGCAGTTGTTAATGTGTCAAGTCGCGTTGCACTTTACAAATACTTCAGATATCAATGAATTAACCTTCAACTACTATTCGAAGCAACTTCAACTACCCGTCTGACGTTACGTATGTGTCACGGATGTGTTTAAAATCATGCAGACAATAAACAGTGGTAATAGAAAATTTTATGTGATTCACTTCATATATTTCAGTTCAATGGAAACAGACATTAATTTTTTACTTGTATTTTCCTTGCTTGGGAGCTGGTCGGTTGCCCTCAGGTTATAAAAATCTTCATTGGTTTTGGGGTGTCATTTTTGGATAAGGGATCATTACCTGGGGCGGGTGGGGCGGCAGTTTGATAAATCTTATAAAAGCAGTACAAAGCGGTAATAATTGAATTTAACAGGCATGAATAGTAAACAACGATCTTATAAAAACAATTGTGGATAAAGTATGAGATGAACTTTGATTTTAAGCCAGAATATTCCTAGATTCCATAGCAGTCAGGTGGGAGGGGTCACTTTCACAATATGCAAAATTTATGGGGGTTCATTTCTAACAAACTATGATGAATGCAAGTCTCAGCCAGCGGGGACCACAGCAGGGATTACACAGGGGTTCACCTTTGATGCAATCTTGTACAGGATCAGAAGCACATAATCTTACTTCTGACAGGACATAACTGGGACATTGTCCTCCATGGGCATATATTAGCTGGAGGGCTCATGTAAACATAATTGATTGGAGAAGTTTGGAACGCCAAATCTGTAACTTAAGGTAATTTACTTTACAGTTTTGGCTGTGTGAGAAATGGACAGCATTATTGATTTTAAAAGTGTTGGTTTGATGCACGAAACAAAAAACTTCCAAAAAAATAAACTGCTCTGCATAGCAATGAATTGGCTTCATTTTGAAGGCAGGCCTGGTCTAATACCCAGTGATTTCCCAGGTATGGGGGTGCACCGGCTTTCCCCAGACTAGTGCAATATGGGGGATTCCATTAACAAGTTATACATAACAAAAAACTCCTTCTGAGGGATGCCAAAATCCTCATAAGGCAATCCATTTACAAGTTTATGTATAACTTGTAAACGGAATCCCTCATGAGGCGTTTAGCATCTCTCAGAAGGAGGTACACTGTATTTATGTATAACTTGTAAATGGAGTCCCTCAAAAAGAGTTTGACATCTCTCAGAAGGAGGTAGACTGCATAATATGTTTTACTTGTAAATAGAATCCCTCAAAAGGAGTTTGACAACTCTCAGGAGGACATACACTGTATTTATATATAACTTATAAATGGAATCCCTCAAAAGGAGTTTGGCGTCCCTTAGAGGGAGGTGTTTGTGTTTAACTTGTAAATGGAATCTCCCTGAAGGATTTGATATTACAGGATTTTTGTATCCCTTATGGAAATCTTTCAGATGGAGATGTCTTTTGTTCAGATATAGTTTCAAAATCAAGTAACAAGGAAAATTAATACAACCAAAATTAATATTTGAGGCTGTGGTCTTATAAAAGTTAAAGGGTGCCCATTGAGCTGAAGCTGTGAAAGCTAGGGTGCCCTGTATAGAATTTCTATGAAAAAATAAGATTTTCTTGTCACTCAGCAAAACACTCCTTCTAAGGGATGCCAAAATCCTTATAAGGGATCCCATTTACAAGTTTAAAATGAACTCTTCCTTTTAGGGATGCCAAAATACTTATGATGGAGTCCATTTAAAAGCTAAAGAATACCTCCATCTGCAGGATGTCATGTCCTTCTGAGGGATTCGACTCATTCCACATAGAGATATAAAGAAAACACCTTTTTCTCAGGGACGTCTATTCAAGTCCGTCTCAGGGATTCCACTAAGATTTATGCTTCTTTAAGCACTCATTATGTTGAAACATTTCATTTTAAGAAACGGATGAGTTCAAAATCATTGCATATACATTTACCTTGAGACCTGCACTTGTAAGTCTTTCAAATTACACTCTAACACATTATACCGAATAGTCTACTTGAATGTAGTAGTGCATATAGTAACTGTAAGTAACATCATTCAGGTTGGAAAGTGGATCTTCCACGTTATTTACATTGTACTTTTGAAATAATGTCTCGGGTAAAAGGCATATCCTTTCGGAGAGAGATGCCAAAATTCCCAAGCAGGATTCCATTTATGCATTTACAAGTTACAGTGACTCAGTTATACAAGTTATACATATATAAATTGGGTCCGTGCACACTTCGGCCAATCTATTTTTTCATTTTTCCAACAAAAACGGAAAAAGGACATATTACTTATCCTTATCATATTTACATATTTTAAAGTACAGACAAAAATAGAAAAAGAGAAAATGGTCAG